TTTTATTCCTTCCCACCCCACTTCCAATTGCAGCAAGTGAATTAGTGCTTTAGTTTGTGGATGAGAAAGACATGACGAAAGCGAGACTGTTGTATCTTATGAAGCTAGAAAATACACAAATAGAAAGAGAAGGAAAGGAAAGTGACAATGATTTTGAGTTTGTCATTTAAACCTGTTAGACTTTTCAGGGCTGTTAGCTCTTTTCTTGTTGTTTCATGCTCCTACATTGGTCCTTCCACCTCACGAGTGGAGCAATAGATGATCAGAAGAAATAATAAGATAGGTCTTCCTCTCAAGGTAAACAACGGATGGATTGGAGGAGATGGGGCTGGCCAATCGTAAGAATGGTCAATTTTACTGTCCGCCTACCTCGTGGACCACCTGACGAGAGTCAATGGAATCAAGTTGTGATTCTCAATAGATCTACGCACGAGGAGAGACGACGGGCTCAAAACTACGGTAATTTTGTAGTTCATTACAATCCTTTAAGACGAGATCTTGGTGGTGGGGTGAATTTTTCAATTCTGCCTATTATACCTTATAGTGCAAAATCATTTATTAAAATCAAGACATAATTAACTCAGTAATGTTCTCCCCGGCCACATGAGCGGAGTGGATACTTAGCAAAGGTAAGTTGCTTCTGAAGCAGTCAAGGTTGAGTTGTAAACATGTAGACGACCTGAAGGACAGTGAACTTTTTAGTCACATCTGGCGCATTACAAAAGCTGAGCCCTCCATCAATCTTTCACTATCAATTGTAAACTAACGTTATCAAGAATAATTACCTTTGGTTCAAAGTCCCAACATTATCATAGCTTCTCAACTCTCCCTCCATATAGAAAGCAGTCATTATAGAGGGAGAGAAAATATTATTTACTGATCCACCGGTTGGCTGAGGAATAACTGACATATCTTGAAGGTCATTCACTCCGGCAGATGTACAACGACTACCAAACGAAAAACCAAGAAATGTGCGAAAGATGTATCAAAATGTGTGTTATAAAAGCTCAACTTTTATTCAGTCATCTTCAACTGCACTAATCGAAGTTACCATGGCAACAGTACCTGCCTCTCCGAAGAGAAATTTACTGCTCCCGCCTATTGTGGTTTTGCTGGCAATGGCAGGGCAACTGGTCGACCAGTGTTTGTGAACTATGCTCGAGCTGAAGATTTGGCCTTTTTTACAAGCATTCAGGGGCTTTGCCTACAGGACATCATTGTCGTGGCACGACACGGATACAACTCTTATGGCAGCAAAGTGAAACAAGTGGTGAAGCGTTGCTCCAGTCTGGGAAGTAGTACACTGCCTGGAGGAATGATTATCTACCGAGATCCCACAGATTCTACACCTGATATTAAAGTGTATCCCGAAGGAATCGGCCTACCTACTGATGGAGTTGCCTATCGTGTTTCTTCAATGGCGAAGTTGAGTGGCGACTCCGAGACTCCTGGCTTCCCGGCCATCGGTGAGCCCATAAATGCGCCCTTCCACTTATCTTAAAATTGGTATATAGCATAGTAAATATGAGACGGTAACAGCTTGGATAGCTTATAGACTTAAAACACAACTAGTTAGCCCCATTTAATTGGTAATGCGGATGTGAACACGCACAAAATCGAAATATTCACTTATTATGAAACTCTAGGTCCTTCATAAAGACTGTCTATTTTAGCAAGAGGAGGCATAATTACGAAGTCTTAGTGTCTGCACAACTAGAACGAGGTAGTCCATCACAACTAAACGCACTGATAACATCTCTGTCTCTTGAGTAAGTTAGACAACATTTGCGGTTATTTACAGAGAGGCTATTAATTAAATGCTCTATGCATTATAAACGAAGTGTTTAGTTTGTGTTTTATTTTGTACTTTTGAGACGGTGTTTACAGGATCGAGAAGGCGGAGGACCAGGCCGTTACACCATTCCCAGTGCAGACAGTTAACTACAATGACGCCGAAGTCATAATTAATGGCATCGGTGGTAAACCAACACCGAAGGCATGGGAACCCTGCACACCAAAATTTGTGGGACCTGAAGGCGATAGGTATGCATCGCTTTGTTTGCACTGTCTAATCCCGAAGTGTCCTTCGAATATGCAAAGTTGACTGTCCTTTCTATAATGTTGCTTTTTAATTACAACGCAGCCTAATTCGACTCGAGGTACGGAATCGAATAGACGAGACGCCATCCAAAATTGTTGATGTGATCGGTGTAATGCCGGGTAGAGGGACAGAGGCAGGGAAATACGTGATCTTAGGCAATCATCGTGATGCATGGGTTCAAGGCGCCAGCGACCCTCATTCAGGTACCGTTGTACTACAAGGCATTGCCTATCTTCTTGGGATGGCCTATCGTGAAGGTGAGTGGTCGATACGTAAACCAACTTTTATGCTTCCTTTTTGAAATCATGAGAAAACTACAGAGCTAGACGGTCGTTCAGCCATTCCCTATCATTCTAATAGAGAAGAGATTCTAAAAGGCATTCGTGATATTGACTGTAGGCTGGCGTCCAAGACGCAGCATTGTGATTGCAAGCTGGGATGCTGAGGAGGTGGGATTGATTGGATCGACGGAATTTACTGAACTCTTCCGAAACGAGTTAATGGACAAAGCGGTGGTCTACTTTAACCAGGACAGCCCGGTGAAAGGCAACGCCGTTTTCAGCCTTCGAGCTGATCAGTTCCTTGAAAAGGCTCTTCTTGACAGTGCAAAAAGTGTGCATGGACCGTGTAATGCCTCTATTAGCTTCCTTAAGGAGTGGGACAAACGAACAAAACGGAAGAAGTATAAGAAACCGGAGTAAGTTGTATTGCCTCAAATTCCTCATATTTTTCAGTTATACAATAAAGTTCAAAATTGTGGTAATATACAGTCTATTTTAAAATCCACTTGACAGACTCTTTATCCCCAGCACCCAAGGGGACCTGAGGAGAGCAAGCGTCAGGGACCAAAGTACTTTTGTCTTTGAGCATATTTTCATCTTGTTCAAGGAAAGCTCAGTCAATTAAGCTCCACCTTTGATCTTTCTATTTGCCTGTAAAGTTGAAGCCAACTGTTATAACTGAGATAGGCATGAAAAAATTACTATTTTATTGCAGAACTGTTCCAGTGGCTGGTTCTACAGATCATGTTCCCTTCCAATACCAGCTTGGCATTCCATCAGCCTATCCACAATTTACTCCGGTAAGTGTTCCTTTTTCGTATCCAAACCATTAGCGATGATTTGTGCAACCTTGGTTTCCTTGAAGTATTCGCGTTAAATCGTGACTACTAAGACCTAGGCAAAGAGAGGTGCATTCCAAAGGTGGAGAATAATTCAGAGGTGTTAAGAGGTTTTGCTGGCTCCACTGAGAAAATTTTATCTGAGCACAACCTATGCGCTTAGGAACGGGCAGATTTATCTCGATCCCTTTTGTGCAGCCATCTTTGAAGCGCCGACACCTTTCAAATGCCTCCTTGTAATCCAATTAATGGCGGAGGCGCCCTCTTTAGCTTCTGCCATCTTGATTGTTAGGAGCAGAATACACCAGCAATGTTTGTTGTCTGCTCTTAGCTCCGATTGGATTTGAACTTTAACTTCCTTTTCCACTAATCTTGGTTATGTCTTCTCCACGTCGTATAGAAGCCGCCACTGTATGAAGCTCCTTCCTATCACACCGCCTACGACTCGGTAGATATGGCAGTGAACTTCACTGATCCCCCTTGCAGCACCAATAAAAGTGTACTTCCACTTCACCGCCTCCTTG